CCACCCCCCCATGACCTCCTTCTTCACGGCTGCCCTGAAGAGCTTTTGGGGGGGTGCGGAGGAAGCCCCCAAGGAGCCCCCCAAGGATGGCAAGGAGGCCGCGCTGCCCGGCGGGATGGCCCGGGAGGAGTTTGAGGAGTATCAGAGGCAGCTGCTGGAAGAGAAGTAAGGCTTGGTGGGGGCTGAGGGCTCACCAGGGTCCCCCGTGCACAAGGACCAGGGTCTCACCCACCGTGGATAGTCCCAGGGGGGAACAGGACCAGGGAGGCAGCTGGGGATGTGACAGGAGCAGAGCTTCAGCACCTCTCCCTGCAGCACCAGATGTCCCTGTGGGTGCTGGCACAGGGCTGGGGCAGTGGCTCAGTGCACACTGTGTGTGACAAGGGGCACCCTGGGCATCAGTGTCTGAGGGTGGGGGGCCTGTGGTGCCAGCCCAGCACCCATGGAGCTGAGGAGTGGCAGGGCTCAGATGGGTTTGCGTTAGGGTCCCACCTCCCTGCGTCTGGATGTTGTGGGGATCCAGTGGTCCAGGAGCTGAGAGGCTGCAGGAGGAGCAAGTCCCTCTGATGGGCACCTCCAGTGAGCATCTCTGTTGGGTGCTGGGGCTGGAGGAGCAGGATGTGGCCCCTGCCCCCAGGTCCCCATTACAACCCTCCTGGGGACCTCTGCGTCCCTTTCTCCAAGCCCAGATGGGGCTGGTGCAGTCACTGCAGCGCAGGGGGGGTCGTGGGGGGGGGGCTGGGGTGGGTGGTGACAGCACAGCACCCACTGCTGCAGGATCGAGAGGGACAAGGCCTTTGCACAGAAGAAGGCAGAACGGGCCACTGTGCGGATGCACCTGCGGGACAAGTACCACCTGCCCCAGGTAAGGACCAGCCCACCTGTGGGAGGGACCTCAGGGTTTTTCCTTTGACCCTCCTTCCTCAGGGACAGCCCTGGGCCAGGCGGCTCCCAGGCCCCCCCAGGGGCTGGAGGTGGCTCCTGCAGAGGGCAGCAGGAGGCTGCCATCCCATCCCATCCCATCCCATCCCATCCCATCCCATCCCATCCCATACCCACCTGCACCAGCAGACTATC